AGAATAACCAAGTCTTAAGGGCGCGGCGGAAGGAAGGGAGATCAGGGATGACCCTGATCTCTGGGGGCAGTTCATTCAACCCTGATCTCTGGGGGCAGTTCATTCAACTTCAGTTCATGGACCTGAAGTTGAGTTCTCAAATCCTGATTCAAATTGTTATTTTAATCAGAGGTAGGAAACAAAACTCAGCTTCCTAGCCTTGTAAAGACTGGAACCAGTGACAGATATCCTATTTCATATCCAGTTCAGGAATAAATTCTTGGGCAGCAACCAACAATGGTGTAACTGAAAAAGAACTTTATACAAGGCAGCATTGAGATAGGCAAGGCAGAACAACCATTGGATGTTCCAAGGTTAAGAAACATAGTTCACAAAGCTCAAGGAGAGCAGAACAGTTGCAAGAGCCAACAGTGGGAGACAATGAACTGTTGTTTGACAGTCTGCTCCCCGAAGTGCTGCTTGATTAAAGGGATTATTCTTCCTTCTAAATCAGGGGTTTTCAGACTTGGCCCTTTTATGACTTGTGGACTTCAACTCCCAGAATTCCTCAGCCATCATGCCTGGCTGAGGAATTCTGGGGGTTGAAGTCCACAAGTCATAAAAGGGCCGAGTTTGAAGACCCCTGTTCTAAATGTTCCTCGACAATTCTCCAACTGCATTTTTGGTCTCTTCAGGTGAGTGAAGAATGTCAATTGGAGACTATTCTCAAGGAATGTGAAAAATAGACTGCATGAGTTTGTTTCTGGCAAACTGTGTGTAAAATAAATGAAGAAAACTATTTGAACTGTAATAATCAATGGGCATCTAATAAAAAATAAAGAAAATCAGGTTTGCTGGTCTGGAATATAAAGATCACTTGTTTGAATGTTGTTGTTTTTTGCCTAAATAGCTTTTTCCTTTGGTGCCCTCCAGAAACATGAGCTTTTGATTTATATTTTTTGCTTGGGAACTGAAATCCATATATACAGAGATATGAAACTGGCATGGCCATCTAAAATCAAAATCTCATTTTTTGTAGCACACATCAGAAATTAAATGCCTCCTTGTTCTCTACTAATGATTGATTACTCACATTGATGGTATGTCCCTCTGGTGCTATCAAGAGCCAGGAACAATGAGTAGAACTATTGTAAGGATGTGGGTAGTTTGGACTTGAAATAATTCCTCTTTCAGCTTGTTTCACACCACCACATGCTAAAATGAAATGTGAAATATTTAAAGAAACATTGATGCATGGCCAGGAGACATGATGTACCAATGTCATATAATTTTCTAGGTGATTTTGTAATAAAAAGTCATTTATATTAAAACATTAGTAGATGTGGGGTAATTATATGTGGGAATGACCTTGGAAGACAGGTGGAAGAGCCACAAACTAGAGGATCAGGCAAGTGGCAAACAAGTCTAAAGAGTCTCACTCTAGTTTCTTGGCCTGTGAAGATTAGACAAGTCATTTTAGATTTGCAAGATTCTATTAATGTAAGTTTACAATAAAATTAGAGCTGGTATTTCTGGGAGTGCTTCTTGTCTGGGCTACCTCAAAGGTCGATAAATCCTATGTATTTTTTTAGGGGTACTGTATCCGATAACGGTTAAGGTTTCTTTGCCCTGCCTAGTTGTGTGACTCTAGGAGATAGTGCTCATCTGTTTCTGAGCTGAGGGAGCCAGCATTGTCTGAAAACACTTCTGTGGTCATGTGGTCAACATGACTATATGCTGAGGTACATGGAATACTGTTATCTTTTCATCAAAGTGGTACCTATTTATTTACTTGCATTTGCATACCTTCAAATTGCTAGGTTAGCAGGAGTTGGGGCAAGAACAGGAGCTGAACCCATCATGTGGCACTTGGGTTTTGAACTGGGCTGTCACTTTTCCAGCTGACAAGCTCAGCATCTTTAATCCCTGTGCCATCACGCCCTTTACTAAATGATAAGAGAGGCTTTGAGTCCCATCAGTTAAAGAGTGTCAATCAGCAAAACCCAGAAGACTGGCCTTTTCAATTACAGTGCCAACTCTGGGAACTGAACTCAAGGGAACATCATATCCTTGAGACTGGATTGGACGTAATCTTACCAGCTTTCCATAAAGTTTTAAAGACCTGAATTGATCCCAGACATGGGGGTAAGTAAACTACTAGGATTGTTATTTTATTGTTCACTGGGTTTCTCTTGGTGCCATTACAGGCTTTTATTTTGAACTTTATTTTTCTATAATGAAATCTTATGTTAGCTATTGTAAGATGGGCAATCATATAAATAAATAAAGTAAACAAATAATGATATTTATACCTAAAAAGGCATAATTGTTTTAAGGAAGTGGTTCATTAAAGCAGCTATGTCTTAAAGCAATTCTTTAAAGAAGTCATATCTTATTTTCAGGCTCATATGGAAACTTAAAAAAAAGACAGAATTAATTTGTTTGTGTCCATGTCTGTTCCAAAGTACTTTTACTAATCACATTGAATACATATGGTACACAATGCAGTCTTTATCTGCTCATTAATATATAATAAACTAGTTCCTATGTCATGCTGCCTGAACATAATGTTCCACAAACAGGAACAAAATTTTGTGGCAAAGAATTTCTTCACCCATCTTATTTCAAGTGGAATAGTATCTGAAGCAAATTGCTGAAGACAGCCAAAATGCATTATCAAATTGATGAAGAAGTATTATTTAGGCATCCAAGTCCTTAAAGGTCTTATATATTGTGATTTCTTCCCCCCAAATTTATCCATACTGCTACTTATAAGCTGAGCTGCCAAAATCCAGATCTGCTAGATGGCAGCAATGAGAGCATATGAACATTGTGGCTATCTGGATTTTTGCAACAGAGATTAAATAATCTGCACTAGAATATATAGATAATAAAATGTTTTGTGAATGCCCCATTTATCTTACCGGAAGATGAGTAGCGCATAATGAATCCTTTGTCTGTATTTTCATTATTACTCAAAAATTGTACCCAGATTTGAGAAGCTGCTATTAACAGTGGCTCTAGAGGCGGCCTGTGTCCACATAGTCTGTACAAAAGCTCTCCATCACTGTCTCCTATATAAAAACATGTTATGAAAAATTTGAAGCTAATAATTATTCCTGCAAAAACCTATTTAAGAGGGATTGTCTTCCCTCTGAGAAACACTTTACCATATCAAGATGGATCACCACATCTCTTTGAAAGGCAAAGTTTCTTATTGAAGAGGTTTGTAGGCCAATCTACAATTTGTAATTAAATACAATTCCAGATTATGATCAATTATAATTATTCCTCCTCTCTCTTTTTATCCTCCCATCAAAGGAAACTAGATATAACAAAAAGTGGGAATGCTTTCAAATTCCAACAGTTGTGTTGTTGTGAATTTTTCCAACAATACCTTTAGTTCATAGTTTGTTGATTACATACTGTATAATCAACAAATTAAAGTTCCTCTAGTTTAGATATATTGGAAACTGGTTTGTTTTTTAAGTAGAAGTAGATGCTTCCAATATCTTTCTTTTAGGCTGAAACATTAAAAGAGAAGAAAACACAAAACACATTGCAATTTAAACTGGTTCCTAAGCCTTAGGGTAGAAATAATGAAATCCATCATGAACCCTGATTTTGCATCTGTCTGTCTATTCAAAGTTATAATCTCTCATTTTTATTTCTAAACAAATACATTTGTGTACAATTGTACATAAAAATACATCATGAATGACTAGTTATACAAATGTAAACAGCCATAATATACCTTGTCGAATGTCTACATAATCATTCTGGCAATTAATATGTTGTTCTAAATGGAAGTCTTCTACAGAAAGGTATATAGTTGTGGTGGATGGCTGTGGATTTTGGATGATCCATTCACAGTTCAAATTATCAGTATAATTGCTTGTGCCATCATAACCGGGAGAAGTAAGGTTGCCATTGTCTGAACTAAGCAAAAGTCCACCACACACTGAAGAAGAAAAAAATTGGAGAAGGCAGTTGTTATCAGACAAAAGCAATTATAATATTATAAGTACCATGTATTCAGCACTTTTCCTTGTAGGTAGTAGATACCAATCTACTATTGCAGCTCAAGCCAGCAATTTTGATACCAATGGTCCCATAAATTAGCGGTTCCCAACCTTTCTGACTTGGCAGCCAGGCGGGAGAATAAGGGATATTTCCCTGTGGGTAGTAGGCGGGCAGGTGCAAGTGTGCACAGCTCCATTTGTGTGACCGGCAGGCAAGCACAAGTGAGCGCCACTTACACGAGGGGAGCTTAGAGCTTATATCCACCATGGCTGATGTAAATTATGTAACTAGGTATGTATTGGATTTTGGATTTATAGAAGTGCAGCTTTTCTGTCCTTCGACAGCATGACATCCTTTGTGCTTTTCGGATAGCATATCTGATGTTGGAAAGATCCAATCTATAAATTTCTAAGATGGAGGAAGGACATTTCCAACATCAGTCCTGATTTAGAATTCTCCTAGAGAAGGGAGTCACAATATGTAGAACATCTTCACATATATTAATCTCATTTATATGTGTATTTGCTATAATACTGTCAAATTGTGTCTTCTTCCAGGCTTACCTCTCAAGGCAATACTTGGGAGGTTCTATGTTTAGGCAAGAAAAACCAAATGTACAGGTATAGTATAGGGAGTACCTTGCTCAATAGTAGTAACTGTGAGAGGGATCTCGGAGCCCTAGTGGACAATCACTTAAATATGAGCCAGCAGTGTGCTGCAGCTGCCAAAAAAGCCAACACAGTTCTAGACTGCATTAACAAAGGGATAGAATCAAGATCACGTGAAGTGTTAATACCACTTCACAATGCCTTGGTAAGGCCACACTTGGAATACTGCATCCAGTTTTGGTTACCATGATGTAAAAAAGATGTTGAGACTCTAGAAAGAGTACAGAGAAGAGCAACAAAGATGATTAGGGAACTGGAGGCTAAAACATATAAGGAACGGTTGCTGGAATTGGATATATCTAGTCCAGGGGTGTCAAACTCAATTTCATTGAGGGCCGCATCAGCATTGCGGTTGCCCCTGGGGGGCTGGGTGGGTGCGGCCAGGGTGAGTGCGGCCTACTGGGTGGGCATGGCCAGCTCTACATCGTTCACGTCAAGGGTGCCTATGGGGGCCTGGGCAGGTGTGGGACGGATCTGAGGGTCTCTGGCAGAAAGGGGTGGGACCGGGGCAAGCACCAAGGCATGGTCCATTTCTTCATTCCTCACAAAGGGTGACACCTCCCCAGCATGCACCCAGGGGGCGGGGCCGACACAGCAGGGGCTGGTTCCTCACTGTTTCTAGATGGCCTTGTGGAGCTAAGACTGAATGCGTTTCAGCGTAGATGGCCACCACAAAATTGTACATTGGCTCCCCACCGGCCTGGGCCAGGACCAAGGCAGTGGGGGTCGTTCCCTCACTGTTTCCAGGATGGCTTCACGGGCCACATGAAACCACTTTGCAGGCTGCATCCGGCCCCCGGGCCTTGTGTTTGACATGTCTGATCTAGTCTAATGAAGAGAAGGATGAGGGTGACATGATAGCAGTGTTCCAATATCTCAGAGATTGCCACAAAGAAGAGGGAATCAAGTTATTCTCCAAAGCACCTGAAGGCAGGACAAGAAGCAACGGATGGAAACTAACCAAAGAGAGAAGCAACCTAGAACTAAGGAGAAATTTCCTGAGTTGTGAATGCTCCAACATTGGAAGTTTTTAAGAAGACACTGGACAATCATTTGTCTGAAATGGTGTAGGGTTTCCTGCCTGACAGGGGGTTGGATTAGATGACCTCCAAGGTCCCTTCCAACTTCATTATATTATTATTATTATTATTATTATTATTATTATTATTATTATTATTATTATTATTATTTCTGGTCCCATATTAGACCCAAAGCCTGCTGGATGACCGTGGGTCAGTCATTTGTATTTATTATCAATATTTACATAGATTGCCTAAATTCTAAAAGTCATTGATAAACCATAAGCTCCCTTCCATACTACATCTGCATCCCATTCTTTCTCAAACTCTGCACAAGAATTATGTTTTTAGAAACCACTGGAAAATTGTCAGAAGTGTTACCATTTAAATTCATTCCGAATTTACTATTTAAATTCATGTATCAGTCCTGTTTGAACTGAAAAACATGGCAAAGCTGTCAGTGGGCATATGCATGGGATACTCATTTCTAAAATAAAATCAAAATAATATCATATACAGCCATTTATAACATTTTTACCACAAGTTTTACTGTTACCTGCATCTTCATTAGAAGTATATGTAATTCTGAAGCGGGCCTCTGTGTCATCTTGGCTTGTTACCATGACTACCGTTATCTTGTTGCCAGAGGACTTAACTTGGGTACCAGATATCACTACACCACAGAGTTTGGATAATTTTGGAGTTTTTTCACCGATACCATTATGAACCTACGATTAACGAATGAATCAAGTACAGCAAGGATTCCTCTAGAAAAGACTGCTCACATTGTAGAACCTTATATTAATTTTTATACTGGTATTTTTAAAAGGTGTTTTGAAATGTGTAGAAATATACTTTTCCATTCGAAATAGTAAATCATCTTGGCTTAGAGAAAGTTTTTGTGTTATTTCCAATGTTTTAATTTCTCATGTTCTCTTTTGTGATACCCGGTTTCATAGTATACACTTTTTTTCAAATTCTAAATAATGTACTTACTGACAAATAGTTCAAACCACAGTTCTCGCTGGATCCAAAATTCATGTCATCGATGGTGAGGGTGATCCGACGTCCAAATGGCACTATGATTCTCCATTCACATTTTAATTTATGCAAGGAATGATTTGGATAGTTAGGAGAGGAAAATGTCCCCACAGTACCACTAAGTTCATCTCCACACACTGGAATGATGTTAAAAAAGAGTTAGTCTCACTTCTCAGGTTTTTTGGCTTTAGGTTTTTGTTTTTTAATAGAACAAAGAAGATACAATGATGCTCAGGACAAAAATAAGGAATGTTTAAATTGTTCTCTTCACTTCATTTAAAAGCTATGTTGGAAAACTCAGTTTACCTCGTATTGCTGTATCTTCTACTACAGTATACCTTTTATTCTTTTTTTATATATATGGCAGCAATAGTAATTACATCTCAGGAATATATAGTCACTATTATGAAACAATAATGGCAAACAAATGCAGAACTTTCCAAACTGTATTTTATCCCTTTCCTGCAGCAAATGAAGCTTTGCATACAAAAGAAATTTGTTATGTATAGAAATGTTTAAAGAGATTATCTTTTACCATCAGCACTGGCAGCAAAATGCAACCTGAAGCCTCGGGCATAGATGGATTCATCAGTGACAAACTTGATATAGGCCAAATTACTAGCAGTGTCCACAGCAGTAGGTATAGTAGTACCACAGTATCTACCTAGCAATTCCCCTAAAATTAGAAGAGAAAGTAAAAGAAAGCAATCTGACATTTGGTATAAATGTAGAATGGCACAAATAAAGTCACAACAATTGAGTTCATGGTTAAATTAATCCTGGCTTATCAGGGAGAAGGAAAAAAAAATATTGAGTTTCTCTCTCTGGTGTACAGGTAGTCCTCAACTTACGGACACAATTGAGCCCACAATTTCTGTTGTTAAATAACTTTTGCCTCATTTTACCACTTTTCTTGCCATAAGTGTTAAGTGAATCAGTGCAGTTGTTAGCGTGGTTGTTAAGTGAATCTGGCTTCTCCATTGACTTTGTTTGTTAGAAGGGTACAAAAGGCGATCACACGACTCCAGGATATTGCAACTATCTGTTGCCAAGCAGCTGAATTTTGATCACATGACCATGGGGACGCTGCAATCGTTGTAAGCATGAAAAACTGTTGTCACTTTTTTTCAGTGCCATTGTAACTTTGAATGGTCACTAAATGAAGTATTGTAAGTTGAGGACTACCTGTACTTGTGTGTTTTTTCCCTAATGAAACAGCAGCTTAGGAACAAACGATTATCCAATTTTCTTCTGAACTTAGAAGCACTTCTATTTCAACCAGGTTTTGGCTATTTGTGTGAACCTCAGATCTCTTTTACTGGTCACCTCACAGCAAATTACAGAATAGGTAGGAAACAAGGACAATAAAGTAGGTTGAGGATAGGCTTAGCGAGTTTAAACTGGCAGAAAGAGAAGGCAATGGAATAGTAGTTGTCATTTTGTGGATAAGCTTAATGCCAATAGCAATTTCTGCTATTTACATGGCAAAGCATAGTCTATGTAATAATTTTCTATTGAAAGGTTAACTTCTTCATTGTTATCATTTAAAAGGAGATTTAAAACATTTATCTCCCCAGAACTTTAAAAGTTTCCAAAGAGAATCTTAGACAGAATGACTTGCAACCATGTGTAACGCTTGATGGCATCATTCAAGTAGCTGTTGGGAATAGTTTTCAGGAGATGGAGGGTGGGTAGATGTAGGCTAAGAAAATAAGCACCAGCAAGAGTCATTAAAAAAAGCAGGGCCGATTTCTTTGAATTCTAGATACAGTGAGAGACAATGGGCTGTTTCTAATTGTATCTTTTAAAAAGCCATCTCACAGTGGAAGAAATTCCATTATGCTCTATCTCGCTGTGCGACTCTAAATCTACTCAAGTAGGTTTGAGTACTCTTCAGAATAGATATAAAGTGCACCTAGGGAGAAAAAGAGATTGAAAAGTATTTCTATTGCACAGCCAGAAATCCATGTAATGTTGGTCATAACTCAAAATACGCCTTTTCATTACCCGACAAGGCATGAGAGAAAAAAGGGATATTATTGACTCACGTACCTGTCACTCCATTTTCTCGAATTACCAAGTAGTCTTTTGTGCATTCTACTGAGTGCTGAATATCTAGTGTTTCAAAACTAATGGTGAGATAATGATTCTCAGGTCCATGGATAAACCATTCACATAATAAATTATCTGGATAGTAAAGTTCAGAAAACCCAATACTTTCAATGAGTCCATTTTGTCCTGTCAGTGTGCCACCACATGCCGCTGAAAGAAACAAAGATGTTCACTAGTCAACCATTTCCTTCCCATGAAAAAGGACAAAATGTGTTCCAGCATGACTGTAATATACTATAGAGAGAAATTTATAGATCTAGATTGGCAGTGTGGTAGTTAAGGCACCAGGCTAGAACCAGGAAGACCCAATTCTAGTCCTGTCTTAGGCATGAATTTGACCTTGGGCTGGTCACTCACTGTCAGCTCTAAGAAAGGAGTGACAAACCATTTCCAAAAATCTGCCAAGAAAACAACAAGGACTTGCCCATACAGTCACCAAATGTCTGGACTGACTTGAAGGACTATCATCAACACCATCACCACCACCACCACTACCATTTACCATTGATTCTTCAGAGGTGAGTATATTGGATTCTATGCCTTTTGATCTATAGTAGTGCTTTTCAGGCACTTCAAAGCATTCCCAGAAAATCCAGGAATAGGAATCAAAACATTTGGGCTAATTATATGTTAAGAGCATCAGAGAATTTCACAGATACCACATATGCATTTCACAATTACCAGGAAAATGAAGAGCATTCTTACCCATTCAGAGAAGTCATTAAGGAAAAATTGAAAAAAATCTCCATCCTATCACACTGAGAAATAAATTGTGTTTTAAAGTGGAAGTAATCCGGTTGCTGAGATTTATCTATTGTATTTATTCTATTTAAATAAATCTTATTAAAGAAAATCTCTTTAATATTCCCTTGATTGAAATCACTTGCTGAAAACTTGACAGTGATTATTCTGGAGAATGAGGAAACCTTCCGGTATTCACTTTAGAAGAAATGATGCAAAACTGTATTTGCAGTATTTTTTCTAAAATTGCAGCTAAGAAGAACATTCATCATCTTAGATGCTGAAGAATTTCTCCAAATCAGCAGTATCATCGATTCACATTTTATCTTCCTCTGTTCAACCCCAATTTTTAGAGATTTTATAAATGCATTATTCTAGTATTTTCTATTTTTAGAAACATAAATGTTGATATTTATGCAAATATTTTTGAAATTCACTTCAAAGTGGTAGTCTCATTTTAAATATTTTTTTAAAAATTCCATAACTAATGTTGATGATGATGCAGAAATCACTTTCATTAGCTGGTATATTTTAAAGGATTAGAGAACCTGACCAAGATGATTAATTGTAAAGCTTAAAATCCAGTTCATGGATGTGTCTTTATACCCTTAGATTTTAGGATCAGTAAGGATTAAATGTACATAATACCTCTTGAATACTCAGCTTTGAATCCAGACCGTCTCTCCATACTATTTGATTGGAATCTCATATATAGGGAAGAACCAGAAGATCTCTGAATGCCTGGCATGGAGGTCCCACATAATTTAATGATGAGCTGAGCTGTGGAATCAGCCCCATCTCGTAATTCAAGATAATCTATTGTACAACTAAAAGAAGACCATATTATACATTTTTGCACACAAATATAATTTTGGGAGGCACAAAATCCAGACACATCAATATCTGCAATTAATAATATTTGGGTAATCTGAGACTAAATCAATTACAGAATAAGAAATATTTAATCACATCCCAATACCATATTGAGCAAGTTAAGCTAATAATTCTACCTGATGGATAGATGTCCAGAGTCGCCCCAAAGAGCAAGATTGGCAGTATATAAATTTAATAAATAAATAATAATAAATTGGGATTTGGTGTCATCAGACTAAAAATTATTAATTTACAACAGTATGTTCTGATTCATCTTTCAGTAAATTCAACTTTGAAGTTTTTATTTAAAATTTGAACCATGTGCTATAAAAGGAGCTGCTTAAAAGAAATCCTTTTTATTTAGATATATTCAGTAGGAAGCTTTTATGATATGTTAACTGCTTTGGATCCTCATCTTTCACTACGTTGAGTAAGTGAAATAGGAAGAAAAGAAAAGTTGTTGCTAGAAGGTTTTTTTTTCTTTAATGAAATATACAGGAAAGCAAAACTGAACCTCTCTCCTTCCACAGGGCTTTGTTCTTTGGAAAATAAATAAATAAGTAAATATTCTTAGATTGGGAGTTAAATACTGCCTTAAAATTAAGAGCACCTAATATGATCTTGGCTGATTGTTAAAAGCTAAGCAAATACTGAATTGAAGACCACAAGGAAATTCCAGGCAAGGGAAGGGAAGCTGAAGAGAAAAGATGGCAAACCACTTTCATGTGTTGCAAAGAAAATGACAGGGAAGGGTCTAAGGCAGGGGTAGGCAACCTTGGCTCGTTTATGACTCGTGGACTTCAACTCCCAGAATTCCTGAGCCAGCAATGCTGGCTTAGGAATTCTGGGAGTTGAAGTCCAAGAGTCATAAAAGAGCCAAGGTTGCCTACCCCTGGTCTAAAGAATCAATAGAAGTTAACTCAAAGCAGATTTTACTAAAAACTGAAAAGGGAAGAAAAGGTTATCTGTTTTTAACTGTGCTCGTTAAATCAGAGGAAACATGCCTGTAATACAACAGAAACCTCGATTTTCATGATTCACATAGCCCTGAAAGAAAATTCAATTAGTCCATGACAAGCTAAAAGAAAAATATATTGTCATCTTAGCAGTTACATCTTTCCTTCAATTTGCTTCTAAATTTTTATTTTTTTAAATAATAGGACATTTTATCCTAGTTATCAGCCTAGTTACGCCTACATCCATGCTAGTGCCACTGTAATCCACTGGATCAATTAAGATTTTTCAGTAATTTCCTAACCCTGATTGAGGAACAAGAATGCGAAAAGTGGGATAGAAGATTCTTCCCATCATGGATTTCAAAAGAATGACATTCAGAAAAGTTCAGTGTTATCCAAGAAGACATTTGACAATCTTTTCAATTTTTTGAAATTGTAGATAGGGGAACATCCAAAACATACTATAGCCACGGTATCAACAGAAATAGTGCAACTAGATATGTAAATGGACATGAGCTCAAAATGCAAGTCTCATGTAGCATATTTTGTAACCTTTTAAAGAGACATAAAAATAGCAAGGAATATTTTCATAAAACCTGATTACAATAAGGCTTATAAAATGTAATTAAAGCTAATCTAATAATTGTGTAAATACTTGGGTGAAGGCAGAATATCGAATATATCCTCAAACTGCAGCTCTACAGCCATCCCATAAGGCACAGTTATGGTCCAGATGCAATCAGCAAAAAACGGATAATTTTCAGGATAGTTGGGTGAAGAGATAAATCCAGATGGATTGTCTTGAGTGATGTAAACATTTCCTCCACATGCTAGCAAGTAAAGAAACACAAATAATCTATTAAACAGGATTCAATGTTCTCTGTGACATCCCAAGATTTTCCAAACATAGGCTCCCAATACAGTTCACTTTGGTCATGCTATCTGAGTCTGCTTTGTACTATAGTACACTAAAACTGGAGCGGTACAGATTTCAATCTGTACACAATTAGAATGGCACAATTAGAGAGGCAAGCTCTACCTACAATTTCCACCTGTTCATGGACTCCCTATAACCTGTCGTGCCAACTGGAAGCGAATGATCAAGCAGGAGCCTGCAGAATGTGCATAGTCTCCCTGCCTTGGGATAAAGAAGTTGTGGCAGAGACCATGGAGAGAAGCAGGACAATGCAGTCCTTCTGTACTCCTAATTAAATCAACTCAAAAGTAGACCATGTATAACTCAGTAAACTGAATTTGCATTCTTGTCATAATATAAGCAACATAGCTTATCATTTCCCCACCTCTCATTTATTTATTTATTTTGCATTTCTTTCTGTTATATGTGGTTTCCCTGTGGAAATCTGGAAGGGCAAGTGACATCTTAGGGAAGACAGTTTGATATGTGAGACAGGCTCTGTATAATCTATCCATTAAAAGGAACCTTTTTTTACAAATGGGTGAAGAATTCTATGTTTTTTCTGTTGGCTATGTTCTGGATATTACTTAAGAAACATTATGATTAAAGTATAAAATACCAAAATTATTAAAATACTAAAAAAGAAAAACATCATAAATGGCACATGTATCAGTATTTGAAAACTGCAGCAAAAAGGATGCATGTGGAAAGCCTTGGAGACTGCTGCATGCCTGGGCCTGAATTCCAAATGTGTGAAGGGGCACGTTTCCTGGCTATGTTGATTCTGATGGACTCTCTTGGCTGCTATTTCTATTTCTATTTATTTTATTTCTTTGCATTATAGTTTAACTGTTTGCTGCTCAGAGTCACTGGTCTGAAATGCTATATAAATTGAATGAATAAATAAAATATTTTTTGACCCATTAAATAATGTTTTTTAAGAAAAATCTTTAAAATTTCTAGATGCAAGATGAATCCCAATATTTCGGTTATAGTGCACTGTTTGTTGGTCATATGGTAATTAACTGGGGCTTGAAAGAAAGTATAACCACAGGATTCAGTTCGGCTGCTACTTCAGAGCCCTTTAGAAATATTCATGCAACATAAATCTATAAATATCTATTAGCCCGTAAACCAAAATGGAAATTTCATGTTCGGGGTAATATGCTAGATCAGTGATGGCAAACCTTTTAGAGACCAAATGCCCAAACTGCAACCTAAAACCCATTTATTTATTGCAAAGTGCCAGGGCCACATCAGCATTGTGGTGCCCTCGGGGGGGGCAGGGACGCAGAAATGGGTCACAGTGCTGCAAGGCACAAAAACAGCCACCACCGCACCGTGGGGTGCAGATACAAGGCACTGCACCACGCAAGAACGGGGCAGTGCTAGTGAGTATCACGCAGGCACTAGCTCTGCCCCATTTGCAGCATGTGCGTGATCGCGGCCCTATGCGTGCAGGCATGCATGTAAAATGCTTCCCCCTCCCTTTTCTTCCAGTCCACCAATCGACAATGGTTGGTGACCTCTGCTCTACCACCTCTACTCAAGCTTCTAGTCAGCTGCTTTGCCTCCTTTGTGCTGAGCGGGGCTCCTGCTCTGGGCAGCAGTGGCGGCCTGCTGCTGGCGCGCGTGCCATCAGAGAGGGCTCTGAGTGCCGCCTCTGGCACGCGTGCCATAGGTTCGCCACCACTGTGCTAGATAATAACAATTGCTGGGGAATGACAGTAAGGATTTATGGCATGAGGAAGCACCACAATCTGCCTCACTTTTCCTCAACCTTGAATCACTGGATTATTAGGTGGCTTTCCAATATCGTTCAAATCCATTCAAATTAAGGAAAAGCAAAGAAATAACTCATTATTCTAGTTATAATGAAATGTCACCTGCTCAAATTATTAATTTACAGGCTGACTGGTAATTCTAGAAATTACCAAAACAATTAGAAGATACCAGGCCAAGAAGGGTTGATTCAGAAGGCTGATGGTTTTTGTCAAGTCACGGTCCTGAATCATTGTATGAGAATGTCTGGTTTAAAATTTCACTGATTTGTGCCACCAACGGACAACCTTTATTTGCATTCAATTCTAATACTCACCGAGGCCCTTTGCCTCATATATCAGTTTGAAACCCTGGCTTCCATTACTGCTCCCAGAATTGAAGTGGATAAATAACTGGTTATCTGTGGTGAACATTATAGGGAAGGTATTGTTACCACAAAAGCGCCCATTTCTGTTCTCTGGTCCTAGTGGTGGAGCAGAGAAATCCGGTCCATTTCTAAGCTGAAAAATATATGGTAAATAGAGTCAAGGAGAGGGATTTGTTAAGGCATGATCCAAGAGGAATAATTTAAAAAACATATAGTGAAACCTCATTTTAACAGACTAATTGGGAGGGAAAGACAGAGAATGTCTGTTATTCCAAAAGTCTGCGGAATTCATCTAATACCTCACTGCAATGATGCAAATAATTTTGAGTGACAACGTCACTATACAAATTATGGAAATTTATACAAATAATTTAATTTGCCTCATCTACATAATGTCAACACATCAACTGATCCAAAGGATGAACAAAATTTTACCAAGTATTTATATATATTTACATTTGTAAGTAACAGGTTTTCATTTTAGCTTCACAACAAATCTGCAAACACAAACCACCTCTCATTTGATAAATTAGAAATGGGAACACAGACAAATGAGTAGGAGTACTAAAATTTGAAGAATTTTAACAAACTTAATTCAATAAACTTTGAAACACATTCTCAAAGTAGATCACTGCTCATATGCAGATTTTCATGCTAAATAGTATTTTTGGGGAAAGTGATTTGTTTTACCATGAGCCTTATACAATGGAAGAAATGAAGGTGGAATAGCAGGAAGCAGCAGACCCAAGGCTAAAGAGAACTATTATAACACAGATCAGTGTCTTCAAGGCCATCGAGAACAATCAGGTGTTCATTGATTCAAAAAGATGGAAGGAAAAAGCTAGAATTGAAAATCCGTAACAAATATTTGTATATAGATCTTCATGTCTATTTACTGCATTTCTAATCTTCTGTACACATATACTCCATTTTTGTCTACACTGAAGAGCTAAAGCTTACCCAGTGAAGTGTCCTTATACTAGAGTTCTGAGTAAGGATTTGTTTGAAAAGCTGAAATGTTGGAAAACTTAAATTTACAGGCTTGTCGGATATGAAACCAGATACCCAGGAGCAAAATATTAACCGCAATTGTTGTTATTGTTGTACACAAACAAATATTCTTACTTCAACATAATCTCCATGAATGCAAAATGCATCATCATTCAGTACATGGAATGGTTCTTCAAAATGGATGCCAATGATGAAGCCATCAGGAACTAGAACACGCCAAGAACAACTGAGATTTGGAAAATAGTTTTGGGGATAGTTGGGTGAGGTTATCATACCTTTGTCTGCATGCAAAGTACCTCCACAACCTAAATAAAAAGAATGAAAGTCTATTAAGCAAAGAACAATTTAACTTATAACCTAATTTCATGATATATTTTTGAATGAAAGCTGACCAGATTTATTCTTATATAGTTTTTTTTAAAATATGCTGAGAATCAACTTTTTCTTATAGGGTAGTGTACAACATTTTGGTCATTGTGGGTTGTGCTTACTGTTTTAGGAAGGAATGATGGCACAGTAGATACAGTTGCATTACAGCAAGGACTGGGGTTTCCAATTGTGAGGGAGATTGAGATTTCATTGTTATTGAAATCTTCAATACAAATCTCTCTAAGAGTAGCCGAGTGCTGACAACAATATTTGTACTCTTTGAACCACTGTGATCAGCCATTTTGCATTTTGAATGGGCAAGCTCTGATTTCTTCTTCTGGGTTATAAACTTCCTTCACCTTGACAACCTTGCTTGGCTTGACTTACTAGATTTCTCCTGTTTGTCTGATTCACTGACTATGAGCAAATGACCTGTGAAAGTTCAGAGCTACCACCACATTTCTGACTCTGCTCTTAGAACAAATTCACAAAAGAAATATACCGAGAGAATTCTGGTCAAGAGTATGTCCCCTCATTAAATAAGATTATAACCATTTACATTCTGTTTTCCCTCCCCCATCTTTTTAACATATAAAGGATGGACAAGTGTAATTTTAAAAAAAAATACTTACTTTTGTGGAAAGAAGCATTAAATCCAGCACCAGTAATACTTGAATCTGAAGTGAACTGAATGAACATGGCATTCCCAGTTGATCTTATGGGGGCAGGAGGTTCTCGGCCGCATACAGTGGATAGAACTGGTGCAAGACTATTGTCTCCTATGAAAAGAAATGGGACAGAACGAATTGGCATGATCTTAAACTTTCCATTATTTTATTTATCTATTTAGTTAGTTATTTTGTAAGTAACTAAAGGCAGCAAACATACATAATACTCCTTTGTCCTCCTATTTTCCTCACAACAACAACACTGCAAGATGAATTGGACTGAGAGAGTGTGACTGACTCAAAGTAACCCAGCTGGTTTTCATGCCTAAGACTTGACTCTAACTCAGTCAGTCTCCTGGGTTTGTAGGACAGCACCTTAACTGCTACTACGCCGAAGTGGCTCTCCGTACTAGTTACTTGTCACAGGAACCATCTTTGATTTGAAGAAGTAACATTAAGACTGGAAATTCTAACTTCTTTCATCAGTTATTGTTTTGGGCAGCCAAACGATGTTACTTATTCCAAACCATACCAATCAGTCAGCTATGATGCCAGTGTTTGGAAGAGAACTGTCTTGTAGAACATTTGGAATCCATGGACTGATAGAAACAGAACTTCATTCTGCATTCAGAGTAAGACCCCCCCCCCAGAGTAATGGGGGGGGTCATTTATACATTCCACAGGGAGCAACATGGTCCAAGAACTGATACTTGGTAGATCTTCATTTTAATGATACTCTATAATTGGGAAGGAGTAGACATGCAGCAGAAGACAGGCACACATTTTTATTTGAGCATTATGGAGATTTCATAACCCTGATTTCCCACTGCAATTCTCGCTTTACAAAAACGCGAGTGTGCCTCACCGTCTCTGAAGACAAGTTTATCATCACTGCATGAGCCATGAGACTCTATATCCAAAATTAGGAGGGTAAACTCCACTGTTGAGTCTTGTGCTCTGATAAGCCATGTGCAATCTGCAAAATTTCTGTACTTTGAAGGCCAGTCTGGTGAGAATAGGAAAAAAGGTGTTTCACCAGCTGTTAGGAGACCTCCACAGGCACCTGCCACCAAATCAGGAGAAAGAAAAAAGAGTTCCAGTTTAATAGATACACAGTTTGTTTCTCTTCTTCCTAGGTACTCTAATTTCCAGGGGCTTCAGAAGTAGCACCTTTCGGGGACCCCATGCTTTAGCAGATGTTTCCCAATTTCTTTGCTTCATCTGTGTTAGTATTCTGATAAATCAGAACTTAATAATTAATTATTCTTCATAGCAACCATATATGAATTGAAAAACTCTTCCTGACAAACCTGATGCAAAAGTTTTTAAAATCCCAAACTGGCCCACTAGCCACAAGGAATATAGTAGAAAGTCATGCAACTTTCACATAAAGGAGAAGTGCATGAAGATACATGGAAAAAAGAAGAACCTTGCTCCCTCCTGCCTGAAAATGGGGCTACTATTTCCCATGTCTTCCTGTATGGATTTTTTTTTCTATGGAGAAGGAAACTGGGAGCACTTGTCTCCTGCTTTCAGGTGCATACATGTAAGGTGGGAAAAGCAGTTATTTCTCATTTTGTACTACACAGAAAAAAGCATCTAGTGTCTGAGGAGGCAACAGATGAAGACCTTGCTTCATCCTGAATGTTCTCCATGTAGAAAGAAGTAGGGAGCCATCTTCTCTAATACTACCAAGAAAACATATGCTAACAGTTATTGAGGGAATACAACATATTTCTTTATGTCTCCCCAAACGAGGCTAATAATAGAAAAGAGGATGGAAAACAAACCTATAGGCAAGTTATTTTCAGTATTTGCTGATGCTTCCATTGCATACCAGTCCAAAAGAAACCCCTTTCCATTTGCATAAGAATCAGAGGTGAATTGGAGAGTGACAGAGTTTCCAGAGGAGGTGAAAGAAGATGGAGCTACCCCACAATATGTTCCAATGAGACGTGAATGTATGTCTGGCCCATCATAAATCTGCAATAGGAATAGATCAAGATTTGAAACTATTTTTAAAATGTCCATAGTTTATGTATATATTAGAAAAAAGTTAATAATAACTTGCTTTAATTGGCTATTGAATGCATGTGAAAATTACATATTTCACATGTAATTTTCTGTTTATGCTTAACATGTCTTTTGCAAAATTAAGACTGCATCTGAGAGTCTATCCAGATTTGAATGCTGAGACTACTGATAAAGAAGAAGTTGCCTTACTTATTTGGAAATACTTTCACTAAAAATGAGAGACATACAATGAATTCTTACCTTCAGCTTATCATTATAACAATTATTCACATCCTCAATATCCATTTGTGATATATCACCATGAATAACTTGTGTTTCATTCACAGTTATCATCCACTGATAGTTGGAGAAGTGAGGATACTTTCTAGGCCATAGTGGAGAAGCAATTTGTCCATCTGTTCCTATAATACTATTTCCAAACACTAGAAAGGAATAGCAAGATTGATTCCTATTTTAATGTATATATTGTATCCATAAGTATATTATACAGATTTATAATACAGGTAGTCCTTAATTTATGACCATTCATTAGTGTTTGTTCAAAGTTACACTGGCACTGAAAAAAGTGACTTACAACCAGTTCTCACACTTATAATTTTGTCAATGTTCCCCCCTCCCCATTATAAAAAATTGGATGCTTGGCAACTGGGATATATTTATGACAATTGCAATGTTTCAACGTCATGTGATTACAACTTGTGACTTTCCTAGTTGGCTTCTGACAAAGACATGCTTAAAAAACATATGATTTTCTTAAGAACCAGGGTGATTCACTTAATGATTGCAGAAAAATTTGTGTGGTAAAATTGGATGTGATTCATTTAACAACTGTCTTGTTTAGGGATGGAAATTCCAATCCAAATTGTGGTTGTTAATTAAGGACAAGCTACATTGCATTTATTTATAAGCTCTCAGTAAATCTTGATTTACTTAGGAGCCCTTTTTGTGTGCCATGGATGGACATTGGTCAGAGAAGAACAGAAGTACTCAGACAGGATGCTGAAAGTGGGGAGCAAAGTGCCTAATTGAAAGCTTCGTATGGGCTTGCCCCAGGCACTTTAGTAGGGATTTGACATGCTCCTTCTTCCTTTCTGGGTTGGGCAGGAAAGGTGTCAGACCACTCGTACAATACTTTTCCCTGTAGTACTAGAGACTGTTGCCTTCAGAGAGTTCAGTTTGCTATCTTTAATGTTGACTAGCAATGTGCAATTTCAAGTAATGGTAATCTTTCATCTTCATCTTAATATTAGTTAACAGAAGATTCTTTTAAAGAGGATACTGACTAATATCTCTTCAAATGCAGGAGGATTTTCTAAAAAGTGGAACGTTACTTATTTCCACTATATCTGTTGTTCTCTACAACTATTAAAACATTTGTATATCAGATATTTCCCTATTTAGCACCAGCTAGTTCAAATTCTATTCAATGTACAATATAAAGTGAAAAGATCAAATATAGAACTTTGAAAATGTACAAAAATCAAACATATCAAAAACACAGATCTCCCAGTTAGGAGAAGGCTAGACAACAGATTTTTTTTTTTACTTGAAATACTGCAACTCCTTGAAAGCTGTGTTTAATCTGTGCTAATATCTGCAGCTTTGATCTCTTACACCAATAGCTAAACAGCCAAGTTCAATATTTCAATATTTTACCCTCAAATCAAAATCAAATATAATTTAGTTCACCATGTAAGAGTGTAATGATAATATTCTCAGATTATAGTTTATAAACAGAAATCAATAAATACTATAATTCATCGGAGACTAATCTCAAGATACAGGCATTGATTTTTAAATCTCATACACTTGAGCTAATTCTTACTTATTGCAGCTTTCAAATTCCCTGTTTTAAGTGGCAAATTTACTGTCCTTTACCATGTTGGACTAGATAATTTTTTATCCTCAGTTGTTAGCTTAGTGTAATGGGATTTGTGGACCAAGGTACATGTAGTCCTTGACTTTTCGTTTAGTCACTGTTCAAAGTTACAACGGCACTGAAAAAAGTGACTTAAGGCCATTTTTAACACTTACGACCTTTTCAGCATCCCCATGGTCACATGATCAAAATTCAGATGCTTGACAACTGACTCATATTTATGATGGTTGCATGACTGGAGTCATATAATCACCCTTTGCTCCCTTCTGACAAGCAAAGTCAATAGGGAAGCCAGGTTTAGTTAATAACCATGTTACTAACTTAACAATTGCAGTGTTTCATCTAACAACAACAAGAAAAGTCGTAAACTGGGGAAAAACTCACTTAACTATCTTGCTTAGCAACAGAAAATTTGGGTTCAATTGTGGTCTTAAGTCGAGGATTACAGGAGAAACATAGACTTATTTTTTCAAAAGAAGAAACCTTGATAGCCTATCATAGCATATATCTTTCTTTTTCCATCTTCCAAAAGATTTATAATAATAGAATTCTTTTGGAGTCGAATGTTTACTTACAGTGGGCAAATGTAGCCTGGAATCCTCTTCTACTACTAGAGCCATCTGAGACAAACTTCACCCAAAGGATATGTCCGGTAATTGAGGTATAATTCACTGGCAAAGAGTTCCCACAGTATCGTCCCACCAGAGAACCACTGAAATTACCTTCCCTAATTTCTATGTAGTCTCTGGTACAGCCTTCACTTTCTTCCACCTGAAAGTCCCTGAAAGGGTTTTAATTAATATAAGTAAATTAAAAGTACAAAGTTTAATAAAATAACAATTTAATAGAATTTCAAAACATTTTTGCTAATTGTCCAATTTTCTTTCCATTGTTACTGATAAGAAAAATATCCTTGTATAAGTTTGATTGCTATGTCCTTCCATTTCTCCTGATCTCCAGAATGGAAGGGCATTACAAAGATCCATTCTTGCTCTATCCAAATGAAAAATGGGCCAAAGGTCTTAGTCGCACTTATTCTGAAAGCATCACTGTACCCTTGGCCGTTCCCCTGTATTATTCTGCTGAAAAGTTAATTTTTTTTAAATGGAAAGGTTATTTTTTTTCATTTATCTAGGATAAAAATCATTCTTGCCAATCTGATTTATTTATCCCAGAGATCAGCCATATGTGGTCTGTTGTAGCACAGCATTGGAATCCTGCTAAATAGTGCCTGTTAACATGCAAAGCAAAATAATGAATTATAAATATTACTTTGTTAAAGAAAATCAAATAAGCATTTGGTGCTTATTCTATGATTTAAGATTACACCACCATCTAAAAATATTGCCAATCCTTATTTATTTGATCTTACAACCCATCAAACCTTCAGATCAAATCTTAGCCCAGTCCTATTAATTTTACTCCTCTTAAATGACTTAGAACACAAAGAAACATGATCACATTTTAGCAATGTTATCTATCATGTTTCATCAATTCTTTTAACTTTAGGTTCTCCAATGTACAGTAATGGAAAGACTAAAATAAAGTTAGCCAACTGCATTGCTGCATTTGCTTTAATCTCTTTTGTTTAAATTTAAATCTGTTATTACAAATGTAATGACTTAGACACTCCAACTTTATGTAATGCATAACCAGATATATTATTTGATAGAGGGAGGAACCCCACACATATTATTTTACATTTTGGATCAAACTATATCATTAAAGTTGATTTGATGAATGCAAAGCTTTAGTACTTCTTACTTCAAATTCAGCTTTTATTTCCATTATAGATGGAGCATTTTTTTTCAGTTTTAGGACAAGAGACTCTTCAGTTGGGATTTCTGTTTTTGAACTGCCTGTCACCAGAAATTTTCTTTGCCATATTTTAAAAGCTTTGATGGGGTTTTTGTTTTATAGTTTTTCCAAGTGGGCGTGCATTCATTTCCCCTTAAAATGCATGACTCAAAACCCCTGACCCATGTGTTTTCTGATTTAATTGCAAATGAAAGGGACTGGGCTTCAACTTGATTTCAGTCTGTCTCAGACAGAAGCCGTATTTCTGAAGATTTTTCTGTGCATGTTCAGAATACAGTCCTTGTCTTACAACAGTTCATTTAGTGACAATGACAAACTGAAAAAAGTGTCTTATATAATGGGACATGCATTATTTGCAGATTTTTTTAAATGTTAGTATATTCTTTTTATTGTTGTTCTAATATACAAGGATGAATTAATTTCCATTTGTGTTTCACTTTTTGAAACTGAAGTATGATGTAAAGGTAGTTTTCAACTTACTACAGTTCATTTAGTAACCACTCAAAGTTACAACAGTTCTGAAAAATGTGACTTATGACTGTTTTTCACAGTTACTACCTTTGCAGCATCCCCATGGATCACGTGATCAAAATTCAGATGCTTGGCAACTGGTTCATACTTATGACCGTTGCTGTGTCCCGGGCTCATATGATCCCCTTTTGCGAGCTTCTGACGAGCAAAGTCAATGGGTAAACCAGATTCACTTAACAACTGGGTTACCAGCTTATCAACTGCAGTGATTCACTTAACAACTGTGGCAAGAAATGTTGTAAAATGGGGCAAAACTCACTAAACAAAAGAAATTTTGGGCTCAATTGTGGTTGTAAGTCGAGGACTACCTGTATTCTTTCTTGAAAATTGTTGAATAAGTCCTGGTGCGAGGGAAGGATTGCTCCTAAATGTACTAGCCAATTATACAAGAACCAGTTTGTCTAATTTTATGGCCCTGGACTAGGAGTGGGGCGATTGCTTAGTCACATAAATTGAACAAGTGACTTTGGCACAGTCACTACTCTCAGCTCAGGAAAGAAGGCAAAGACAAACCACTTCTGAAAAGGTACGGTGAAAAATAGACTTGTTCTTCTAATCACCAGGAATCAATGCTGACTTGTGGGCAAAGAAACAAAAACAATAGAATAGAATAGAATAGAATAGAATAGAATAGAATAGAATAGAATAGAATCTGGAAGAGACCTTGGAGATCTTCTAGTCCAGCCCCCTGGACTAGATGGAGCGCCCATGATTTCTGGAGGCAAATACATATCACAGTTTAATATAACGTAAGTGGTACTAAGCAGACTCTGGAATTTTGGTATCAAAATAATATTGTATTTTTCAGAATGGCAGCCAGTTTTGAATAAAGAATAATTGTGCACAGTATTTGTATTCTCAGATTTTCTTCCATCTTTAACAGATGTATATAGTCATATGACATTTCATACAGGTAGTCCTTACAACCAATAAAAAACAAAACAACAACAACAAAAAAGAGATCAGTACTCATACTTACAACTGTTGCAGTTGTAATTTTGTAAAAGTTACAGTTGTAAAATCAGGGTGGCATCTATAAGCATAGATTTCAGTTGCCTGAAAGCTGACCAGGATAATATGCAATAGAAAAAAATAAATAAAACAAGCCCTTTCTGGCTGTGATTGCATTCACTTTCCAAATTGTGGGTACTGTTTTACATGCCAGTAATTACATCCCTCTAAATCCAGCATTTCCTTCCTGCTGCTCCATTAAAAGATTAAACAATAACTCTTTGAACAATTCATTTACGTGAAAGACAGCTGGAGCCGGTTGCCAGGGGAGCTCAGAAGATTCCAGACACATTCAATGTTCAATGGATAAGGCTCAGGAAAACTTGGGCTATTGAAGGCTCCTCTCTCCATATGGAAGGTACCCCCACAAGCTGTGCAGGAGAAGCAGGAGATGAGACAAAGTAAGACACGGAAATGGAGAAAATAACCTTAGTAGGATAAAAGTCTTAGAAAAGCATGGAATTTCTCTTAGCAAAAGCAAATACTGTTTGAATGCTACAGCTTATAACAGAAAATCCAAGTTGTGGGAAATAAGTGGCTTCCTTCTTCCCATCTTAGAAGTAGTAGGCTTCAGAGTACGTTATTTATTTTTATATATCAGATTTATAGGCCACCCACACCACTCACAGATCTTATCTGTCCAGATCATGACTGTTGCCAATTTAATACTGTTGCATCAAATAGAAGTACATTGCTAAACACCTGGAAATATGTCCATAATTTTTCCATTACATATTCAAAATGAACAGCTCCTTATTTGCCAGCCTTATCTGATGCAATACCTTTCATACGGGATTCCAGTTGCCTCCCTAAATCCTCTTCCAACCCAAACCCTGATAAAACCCCTTGTTTTGTTCTGTTGGTTCTCAAACCTGGATTGTTATTTAAAGGCCATCTACTTCCCATTGCAAAATCAGATGAGATGAGATGATAATTTGATCTGATAAAAGCCAGTTTGTTGTACTAATTAGGCATCAGGCTAGAAACCGAGAGACAGCAAGTTCTAGTCCCACCTTAGGCACAGAGCCAGTAAATTTCTGACAGACTAAGAAAGGAGGCAATGGCAAATCTCTTCTGAAAAATTTTGCCAAGAAAACTGCAAGGGCTAGTACTGGTAGTATCCGAGAATTGGACAAGATTAAATGAAAGAAAGGGGGGGGGAATCAGTCAAGGAAAAGAACATTTTCTGAATGAGCTATTCCATGCAGCGAACTAAAGAACAGATGAGTCAGCAAGTTCTGGAATGTTGTTGACAAAAGGCAAGGTAAATATCAAAATATATAACCTTTTGCTGCATTGTGCCTGATGTATTACCCAGGCTATAATGTTAATTTCCAAAAGCTTCTGATGACAACACTTATGCAGGCAGGTTTAAAATGACTGAATCTTCAAAAGTTGTTTGTCCTTATACTACAAGAGTTCGCATTTATTCTTACCAGATGTTGATGCAGCAAAGGTGGCATGAAATCCTTTTGCTGTGGTGGCATTATTAGAAACAAAATTGATGGATAAAGCGTTGCCAAAAGAAGTAACAGGAAGTGGCATAGTGGAGCCACAATAATGTCCTGGAGAAACAAATGTCAGTATTACACAGCCAGCATTGCATTGTATTGCATTCACACTTTGAAAATAAGATACAGTGCCCACTGCATACAAAAAATATTTTATGTCTTTCTAGTTCATTGTTAATATCAGAAGTTGTCAATCTGTTTTTATGTTTCCTCTGTGATGCCCTACTTCATCTTATTGAACAGGATATCTTGGAGAACGACATTTTTCTCAAAATGTTTCAATAGCTATATATTCATTCCACTGTTCTGATTTCTGGCAAAAGGAGAAATTAAAAGTCATTCTTCTTCCCTTTGTCACTCTGAATAGCGCTCTCTCTCTCTCTCTCTCTCTCTCTCTCTCTCTCTCTCTCTCTCTCTCTCTCTCTCACACACACACACACACACACACACACACACACACACACACACACACACACTACAATTTTGGCAAAATTCAATGAACAATGGCTTAACTGCTATGGAAAATGAAAAGAGGTGACTACAGTAAGCAACAGAGCAGCCTCATCTCTGTAGCCCACAGTAATGTATCTCATTATGCTGAAGACCTGTCATCTTCCAATTATTTTTGGATTATCTTCCTTATCTTCTGCCACCCTGAGGCAATATAATCAATGGCCAGAATTAATGGCCATTGCTGTCCTTAAAAAGTAGAGGGCTGTAGTTTTCCTATCCTGCTTACTTTATTTATTTAAATTTACATGCTGCCAAATCCATTCAGATTTCTGGAAGCCTCAGCATTAAATCAGCTATGTGCTACTTTCCAGATTTCTTTTCCTGAAATATAAAAATATCATTTATCCTTTAAAGCAGAGGTGGGGAAAGATGGCTTTTTATGATAGGGCTTTTCAATCTTTTCACAGATTGTACCACTTTTAGGACATGACAATATTTGAGTACCACCAGTGCTTAGCAAGGTGTCAAAAACTTGATAACTAAAAAAAAAGGGGGGGGGGATTGGGTTTTACTGATTAGATTCATTTGTTGTTATAGAAATGGTTAGTTTATAATATTATGGAAAAGTAAAAAGTTGAGATTCAATGTTAATGCTTCCTTCTAAAGAAACAAAGGAAGTCAGAAATCAATGCCTTTTCTTTTTCCCTTCTCCCCCTCACTTTTCCCTTTTTCTCTCACCCTTTGCTCGCAAAAGCCCCCCTCTCCCTCTCATCCTTTGCTCACAAAAGCCCCTCACTCACTCACTCTCTGATTCACTCACACTTTGCTGGCAAAAACCCCTCGCTCACTCTCTCACTCACTCACACTTTGCTCGCAAAAGCCCCTCACTTGCCCTCTCACTCACTCGCACTTTGCTGGCAAAAGCCTCTCGCTCATTCTCTCACTCACTTGCACTTTGCTCACAAAAGCCCCTCGCTCGCTCTCTCCTCACCACTTTGCTAACAAAAGCCTCTTCTCTATCTTTTTTTTCTTTCCCGCCAAAACCTGCTCCTTTTATAGCTTCTCCTCTCTCTTCCCTCCTCCTCCTCCTCCTCATTTTTTCTTCCGGAAACACTGGAAGTTCCTATCAGCATGTAGCTGCGTGCGCAGATACTGGGGCTTCTGCTGAGCCCTGCAGTTCCAGCTGATCTCCTCCAGGCCTGTGTGGCGCCACTTTAGCTCGTTCCTTTCCCCGCTACACTTAGCTAGGGGTCATGTACCACCTGCCAGGTGCTAAAGTACCACCGGTGCTGCAGGTTGAAAAGCCCTGCTTTGTGACTTGTGGACTTCAACTTCCAGAATTCCTGAGCCAGCCATCGTTTAAAGTGTCATTATCTCTTAAGTTCTGCTCTGAACAAATAAAATCTCTGTTTAAAAGATATATAGACAATCAGTACTATACTGTACATTTCTCATACCTTGCAAAGGAGCATTGGAATTATCTCCTTCCCGAATTTCTACATAATCAGTGCTGCAGTTAAGCATGTTATTTTCAATGTCAAAGTCAGTGAATGATAATGTAATGTGGTTAACTGTTGAAAAAGAATGGTACAAACATGAGGAATAGTAGTGCATTTTAGAGATGACTGAACTAAACTTTCATCCTTGATATTATTTATCAGTATAATTTGGACAGAACAGGTTACTCATGAATGAGGATCTGCTGTGGATCACACCAAAGTCATATCTAGTTCCAGCATTCCATTCTATGCAGCTAATCAGGTACTAGACAAGGCTTTAAGAAGCTGGTCTATAGCTTCCATTTATGTAAATCACAATTACCATCATAAATAATAGCTTTGAACGCCTTATTTAACATGAAATGATCTACTTTAAAACAATGTAATTAAATTCCTTTAAATAAAGTGATACTCCTGTGTTTTAATAAAAATTCCTCCAAGAATATCTATAAGTTGACTAAATGCTGGGAAGCTTGAACAAACCATAGGTGATCTTTTCTTTTTTAAATATAAATCTGATATGAAACCTAAGCTGTCCCAAACAATTTTATATCCAATTAAAATCATTTTAATCCCTTTATCATTCAACATAGAATTGAGGGGAAAGTGAATTCAGCCACTGTATAAGTATCTGATTTCTTGCCTATAACTCTGGAATTTAAAAAGTTCTAAGTGCTATTGCTATCCATACCATATATTATCTCTTATGTATAAGCAAATCCATAAAACATCAAGTTTTCAATTGTGGCATCAGCAAAAAGTTCAAGGGTTGCTATAACACTGCAAGAAACAGTCTTGTTTTAACCTTGATCAAATAAATTAACTTTTCCTTCATTTTATTTCTAACAGTCTTAATTTTTAATTCAATAAATTTTTTTATAAGATTTGATTTCTCTTCCATTCCTCTTTATCCCGTCCCACAGATTTCATCAAAGCTTTATCAAGCCTTAATAATAATAATAATAATAATAATAGTAATAATAGTAATAATAGTAATAATAGTAATAATAGTAATAATAATAATAATAAAGTTGGAAGGGACATTGGAGGTCATCAGGTCCAACCCCCTGCTCATTTCGGACAAATGGTTGTCCAGTTTCTTCTTAAAAACTTCCAGTGTTGGAGCATTCACCACTTCTGGAGGCAGGTTGTTCCACTGGTTAATTATTCTAACTGTCAGAATCAAAAACTAGGCCACAGCTGACCATAGCATTTCAAAATGGTCTAAGGAGATAATCTGAGGTATAAAATTTACTGTTGTCTAGAGGTAAGCTATTCCTCCTAGACACTAACACTATTCTGAATTGACAATCTGCAAAAGTACCTTATTCAAATTGCTGCTCACCTCAAAACCCATAGTTGCTTATGCATCATCAAGGCAGTGGTGAAGATAAACAAATTTCAAACAAGTAATAATAATAATAAAGTTAGAAGGGATCTTGGAAGTCATCTAGTCCAACCCCCTGCTCAGGCAGGAAATCCTACACCATTTTGGACAAATGGCTGTCCAGTATCTTCTTAAAAACTTCCAGTGTTGGAGCATTTACCACTTCTGGAGGCAGGTTGCTCCACTGGTTAATTATTCTAACTGTCAGGAAGTTTCTCCTTAGTTCTAGGTTGCTTCTCTCTTTGATCAGTTTCCATCCGTTGCTTCTTGTCCTGCCTTCAGGCGCTTTGGAAAATAGCTTGACTCTCTCTTCTTTGTGGCAGCCCCTGAGATATTGGAACACTGCTATCATATCCCCCCTAGTCCTTCTCTTTATTAAACTAGACATACCCAACTCCAGCAACCGTTCCTCATATGTTTTAGCCTCCAGTCCCCTAATCATCTTTTTGCTCTTCTCTGTACTCTTTCTAGAGTCTCAACATCTTTTTTACATCATGGTGACCAAAACTGGATGCAGTATTCCAAGTATGGCCTTACCAAGGCATTGTAAAGTGGTATTAATACTTCACGTGATCTTAATTTTATCCCTCTGTTAATGCAGCCTAGCACTGTGTTGGCCTTTTTGGCAGCTGCAGCACACTGCTGGCTCATATTTAAATGATTGTCCACTAGGACTCTGAGATCCCTCTCACAGTTACTACTATTGAGCAAGGTACCAAATCGTTGATGAATATGTTGAAGAGCACTGAGCCCAGAACAGAGCCCTGGGGCACTCCACTACACACTTCCCTCCATGTAGATGCGGTTCCATTGAGGACCACTCGCTGAGTACAGCCGGTCAGCCAGCTACGGATCCATCTGGTGGTGATGCTGTCTAACCCACATTTTTCTATCTTATCAAGTAGTAGGTTGTGATCTACTTTGTCAAATGCCTTATTGAAGTCCAAGTAAATTATATCCATAGCATTCCTCTAGTTCACTAATTTTGTCACTTAGTCAAAGAATGCAATAAAATTTGTCTGGCATGATCTATTTTTGAGAAACCCATGTTGGCTTTTAGTAATGACTTTGTTTGCCTGTAGGTGTTCGCTGATTCGTTGTTTATCTTTTCCAGAATCTTCCCAGGTATTGAGGTCAGGCTGATAGGTCTGTAATTTCCTGGATCCATTTTTTTTCCTTTTTTGAAGATGGGAACTACATCAGCTCTTTTCCAGTCCTCTGGTAGTTCCCCAGTGCTCCAGGATCTTTGAAAAATATAGTTCAGTGGTTCTGAGATCACATCTGCCAGTTCCTTGAGAACCCTGGGGTGTAATCCATTTGGTCCTGGTGATTTGAACTCGTCTAGGCTGGACAGGTGCTCACTTACCATTTTCTTGCCTATCTTAACTTGTGTTTCTATTCTGTTTTTTATGGCACTATTTTTGATAGGTTGGTCTGTTTTTTCCCTTTGTGTAAAGACAGATGCAAAAAAATGAGTTAAATAGTTCTGCTTTCTCCCTGTTGCTTGTCACCTTCTTGCCACTTTCACCCACTAATGGACCAATCATTTCCTTCACTTTTTTCTTGTTTTTTACATGTTGAAAGAAGCTTTTTTTTGTTATTTTTGACTTTGGTCGCAAGCCTTAGTTCATTTTGACCCTTGGCTTTCCTCACTTCATCTTTGCAGGCTCGGGCTCTTTGCTGATATTCTGACTTAGTTATGTGCCCCTCTTTCCACTTTCTATACTTGTCCTTTTTATCTTTCAATTTATCAGAGAGTTCTTTATGCAGCCATGCTGGTTTCTTTCGAGAGCTGTTATTTTTCCTCTTTGTTGGTATTGTGCTGGACTGGGCTTTTATTATCTCACTTTTCAAAATTTCCCAAGATTCTTGAGTTGTTTTCCCCTGGAGAATTCTCATCCATGGAATCCTTCCCAAACCCTCTCTAAGTTTATTGAAATTAGCTCTCTTGAAGTCCAAGACTCTAGTTTGACTGTGTTCTATTGCTTGTGCTTTCATAATGTTGAATTCCAATATTGCATGATCACTTCCTCCCAAGGTTCCTATGGCTTCAACACCTTCTATCATTTCATATCTGTTAGTGAGAATTAAATCCAAAATGGCTAATCCCCTAGTTCCCTTCTCTACTTTTTGGGAGACAAAATTGTCTGCTAGGTTTGTCAGGAATCTATTTGATCTTTCACTTGGTGCAGAGTTTGTCTCCCAGTTGATGTCAGGGTAGTTAAAGTCCCCCATTACTATTGTAGTTCCAGTATGAAAATATTTTCCAGGTTTATCATTTATATTTCCCATTTAGTTTTTAAAACTTTTTAAAAAATTAAAAAAACCAATTTCTGTTGCATAACCATAAATCATCCTTCTCCAAATCATTTTCTGGGTCGATATTTGTACTTCCATTTTCAATACTTTCTCTATTTTGTCAGATAAAATTTGTTCCACTTCTCTCATTATTTCATTAGCATTTCTTAGATATAGTCTAGCTAAGTCTATAAAAGGAGACAGAATTACTGACAGTGTTGATATTTTAGTTACTTATTTCTGGCTCTATTCTGCTTCTCTATAATATTTCCGATGTTATAAGATTTTATGTCATTTTGTCAGTTTCAGTATTAATTGACATCAAAAATAGGCTTTTACTTTTTTCTGCTTAAAATATTAATTCCTTCTAGTATCCAGTTTTTAAAGTTATTATTCATTTTTTGTTGTGACTTGCAATAACCTGGATAGCCAAAACAAGGCAGTTTCTCACAAAAAAAGCTGTTTTTCTTTTACTGTTAATAAGAACCTGAGAAAAATTACTTAACTCAACACAGGTATCAAAAAGTGCTACAAAGCTGAAAGTATGTCGCAACTTAGAACAATATGTCTAGCATTACAGAAAAAATATGCCACCTCCATGAATTGCAATTATCTTTTTTTACCTAATCTTAACCATAAATGCTTTTCCTGCTTTCACATTCAGTTACATATTCCCTATTAAGATGCATACTACAAACTGATGTTTCAACTAGGTTTGAAAATAAGAAATTTCCTCTCATTTTGTACAAGCTGGAATTACATTTTGCTTTAAACAACAACAAGAATAATAATCACTAAGTAGAAAGAAAATAAGGGAGATGCAAAACATCTTGTGATATTGTATTAATGTTCCAATGCCATGCTTAATTATGATTTGGAACCCAAACCAGTTGTATTACAATTAAAAAATAGGGTTAGCCACTCAACCATTTCAACAAACAGTTGAATTTATCTGACTAATATTGTGCTCACCAATGCAATCTTTAAACAAATGTGCTAGTTGTTAAGTGGAGCCACAGTGCCCCCGAAGGCCTTCCACATCTTTGAGGCACTTGGTGCTCTGTTTCCTGTCCCTTGGGGTTGCCCGGACCTCATCCTAATCCCTAGTTGGTTATTCAGCCAGGCAAGAGAGCCTAAACCAGTCAGCAGAAGCAACCACTACACAGAGGGCAGTTACAGCCTGTAGGCCAAAGCCTACTTTCCATCAGCTCCCCAAGGGCCTCCCAAAGGCTCCGCCTGCTCCTGGGATTCCCAGACTGCATCCTGCTCCCACGTTTGGTCCTCAGCCAGGCAAAGGAGCCTAAAGCTGATCAACAGAAGCAAATGGCTGACTTTAGAGCAAGCCAAGGCCTGCGAGGATCTGGTAGGATGGATGGGGGAGTCCCTTTGGTCAGTTGTAAGGGTGAACAATGGCAGGGGCACTGCAGCATTCATAATTTTGAAACTATGTCCTAAGTACCTTTTGGGTGTTCTGTCACAATTTTGAACAGTCGCTAAGTGACAGATCGTAAATTGAGGGCTACCTGTACTGTCACCTGTAAATTTAATTCCAGTTTGCATATCCATTTTTCTTATGGCCACAGGACTAATTTATTATTTTTGTAATAATCTTCTTTATGCCCTATAGAATTTCCATGGTGTTTAATGCTGAAAAATTAAGGCTGTACACTAAATACTTTATCTCATTTTGCACCAGATTGCACCACGTTAAATCCCCATAAGAAGAGAATAAGAGATAAGTATCATTGATATTTCTCATCTAACAGGATGCAGGATTTCCTACAAATAAGAAAAGGAGGAATTCTGCATTGTTTATACGGAAGAGGTGAGGATATTAGTCATTCTGCTTTCTCAGCAGGGAGAGATGAATTTGTTAACTTACATGGTTCTTGGGCTTGAATAATCCAACTACAGTTCTGATTATTTGGGTATATTGCTGGATACAGAGGAGAAGAAATGGCTCCACCAACTGAATCAGCTTCTAAGGCACTTCCACAAACTTTAGAGTAATAAGAAATATGCAGATGTTAGAGTGGCTGAACTGCAATGAAATTGAAGGTTATAGTATAGATCTCAATATGAGTGAGTTGGCATGGTAGAGCCAAAAGAAACATGATTACAACATAGATAAAAATCTACTAGCATCTATCATTCTCCACTTAAAACTTTACACAGAAAAGCGTGTATCTAGAAAGTGAGTCACAAAATCAATATATAGTTGGAAAAGCACTAAAGGAGTTTGTATGCTCAGCGCCAACACACACATACAAGTTATACATCTGCAGAGCTATACTAAATGTGCCTCTTTTCTAGGATTCACATTTGGGAGTATTCAACTCCTTGTCTTGCGAGTAGATTCTGTGGATGAAGCTAGATTGCTATTATTAACTCTCTACAACAAAATAGACACCTCACATGAACAAGCTCCTAATAGCATTGTATGAGAAATCTGGTTTGAATAAGCACTGCAGTGTTGTTTTTTTAAAAAGAAAGCATTAAACAGAATCAGCTTCTATTTGATTCCTGCAATTTTCTTACAATGGAAAGTTTGGGGATATATAGGCTTTATATTAATTTTCTCAATATATATTTTTAATTGTAAATATTTCCCAATGCATGCTTTTAAATATATTTTACAGATATAAGCAGAATTTATGCAGAACTTCCCTGATACCTACCTTAATGTAATTACATCAACATATGTTTAAAAAAATGAAAACAATATAAATAAATGTTTAGAGCATGAAATGTAACATAGAAATTGAAGTAGTATAAAGTTGTATTTTTTTTGTATGAAAAGTTTCTGAATTTCTTTTAGGATCTATTTTTTCTAAGTTAACATGTTTTGTTTCCTGGGAAAATATGGATGTTAATGAAGTGTTTTCAACAAAATGTTTTGAGTGAACTGCACCAATTTATTGTTCCAGTGTTTTTCTTTTTTAACATTCGTGGTTCTTTACAGATAGTCCCTAGAACAATGTTTCTCAGCCCTGGAAATGCTACAATATGTAGATGTCCACTTCCAGAATTCCCCAGCCAGCTGCTCTACATGGGGCATTCAAGAAGCTGTTGTCAATTGGCATGGACAGCCCAACATTTGTAATAGTTCAGAGGAGGGAATGGATTAATTTCTTAAAGATTAGATTGTGTGTATGCATGTGAGTGTGTATGTGCATATGCATGCTTTTGAGTCAATATTGATTCCTGGTGACTGTGCAGACTAGCCCGTGCAGTTTTATTGGCAAAGTTTTTCAGAAGAGGTTTTCCATTGCTGCCTTCCTAGGGCTGAGAGAAAGTGACTGGCCCATGGTCATTCAGCTGTTTTTTTTTGTCTAAAATGGGTCTAAAAGTCACCATCTCCTGGATTCTAGTGTAGTTCTTTGACCATACCAAACTTATTCTCATTTACATTTTTTTAAAGCGTGCAAGTGCAAAAATTGGGGGGAAAATATCCCTAAAGGTATCATTTTTGGCCTCATCTAGAGGGCACATTTGGGATGCTGGTAGATCTCCATGAGGCCCTGTTGCCCATCTGTGACCCAGAGTATTGAGAAATGCATCTGAATATTTGGCTAAACTATACTTCAACTATTTTTCTTCACAGAATTATGTGCTATCGTATTTGAAACTTCCAGCAAAAAAGCAACTGTTAATTGTTGCTATTGTCCTAAATGAATCAAAAGCCTTAATACTTAAATGCCTTTCTGACCAAGGATTTTAGTCTAGCAGAGATTTTAGATCACTGAGAAACTTACCTTCAGTGAACCAAGCTCGAAAGCCTTGGCGATGTACAGATGAGTCAGAGCGAAACCGCACAAACATGGTATTTTGGGTAGATGTGAAAGGAGAAGGCTGCTGCACTCCACAAACTTTTCCAAGAAGTTGAGCTTCCCTATTTGGACCATCAAAAACCTGTATGACAGAAGAGTCAATACAACTTTAAAATCACATAGTTTACAATTCCAACATTTTATAACATTTGAAATATATTATATAAATACATTACCTGAAAATACAATCCCTATGTAGTACCAGTCTGCATGTGTCTTAAAGGCCAGCAGGAGTCTTTCCTTATTTTCATATTAAAACTGTTTGGCAGTTCAAATTAAAACTGTTCAATTGTCCCCTCTTTTTGACATGGTTGACCATCCCAGTTCCTGTTTTCTATTAGATCTTGTAGAAAAGATCTATGTTGCAGGTACATCAGTGAGGGACCTACATCTGTTGGGACGCAGGAGATGTGCCTTCTCTGCTCTGGTGTCCACCTTGTGGGACATCCTTTCCTTTTGAAATTAGAATATCCCCATCCTTTCTTTGCTTATAAGGCCCTTAAATCCAGGCTATGCTTCCAGGCCTAGGGCTCTGATGGAACTGGAGATTTATTTTGATGGTTTCATTGCCCAGGGTTAGTAATTTTGTTTTTATGTTATTTATTATTATGTTTAGATATTTATCTGTTTTATTGGCTGTTTTATTTACCAATAAAACTGCCCAGAGCCCCATTTGGGAGGAGATGGATGGCTATTTAAAGTTGATAAATAAAATACAGAACAGACCCATTTTTGCAAAATATGAGTAGTTACAGCTATGCAGGGCTTTTTTTCTCATAGAACGCCCAGAACGGAGTTCCGGCACCTTTTTTGGATGGAACCTTATAGGGTAGGCAAGGCGGGTTGTATGACATGTGAGAGTTCCGGCACCTTTTTTTTTTTTTTTTTTTTTTTTTTTAGAAAAAAAGCACTGCAGCTATGTGTATTCATTGTAATAGTCAAAAATGGGAAGGAAGGAAATAATCCTGCAGCTGTTCCAGAAACGAGACTTCTGCTCCCAAGCACCATCAATACAGTGTTATGGACTCTCAAAGGTGTGGATTTGCTTTCAGACTGATTCAGATTAATTGAAGGGAAAATTGTAGTGTGGCTTGCAGCATGCTTTAGAAAATGCTGTTACACTAGCCAACAGTCATTGATTCAATAAACCATAGTTTAAGTACTTAAGTAAAAAAATGCCTAACTGCAATGTGTGAAATACTCTTCCTGTGTTTATTAAAGATAAAGGATTCACTGTTCAGTGTCCGGTTTATGAAATTCCTTTTTCCTGCCCTGAAATTTATTTTTTTACTGAGATGAAAATGTATTTCCCCTAGTATGTTTCTGACTAAGCTGTTCTTTTTTTTCTTGAGAAAGATTAAATTCCATTTCCCTTCTTTTTCTTGTATTTCAGAAAATTTAAAGTCCTTATTTATTATTAGATAAACATCACCTTGTATCTTTAGCAAAAATAATAAAGTAATATTTATTTTAGTGCAACTATTATGCACTAGTGTTGGTTATGAATGTAATTAGAGATTATTCAGTTGTATGCATTTTCCTTATATGTTTTATGCAACTTTATAATAATAATAATAATAATAATAAATTTAATTTATATGCCGCCCTTCTCCCAGCGGGACTCAGGGCGGCGCACAACATATTTAAAACAAAACATAAATACATTCCCCCCCGATAAAACCGAATTAAATCAAATTTTAAAGTTGTGTCTCTGTCAAATTGTTAAAAGATAAACCCCAAATAAAATCCTCCCTAGGT